GTCTTCCAGGGTCGCAGTGGCGAAGTCCGAGCTCGTCAGCTCCTTCAGCCCCACTGACTCCAGACCGATTCAGGCGCGCAAACAGATAACATTCAGATAAACTGACAACACTCTGACAGGACAGAAACGACATACACCAAGGCCGGCTTACCTCCTGACAGTGGGTCGGTGGTCCCGAGGCGGGGGCCTCTAATCCCAGACGAGCCCCCAAATGAAAGACCCCCGAAGGCAGTCTTCCCTCTGGAGAGACCCTCGCCCAGAGATCACACGAGACCACAAGTCAGATGCAAACAGCAAGAGGCTTTATTCAGGAACACAGGTAGCCGGGGCAACGCAGTCCCTCAAGAAGCTCAAGAGACTGGCGCGCCCACGGGCTGGAGCGGAGGGTTTTTATAGGGTCGGGCAGCAGGAGCATGAGGAGGGCGGGTTCAAACTCAGGGCAGCCCATGGTTTACAGGGTTCTGATTGGACGATTCAAATGAGGCCGGGTTCAAACTCAGGGCAGCTCGTGGTTTTTCCCCCGAGCTTGACACGCCTGCTGTCTGGCTCCAAGCTGTTTTTTCTGACCTTTAGTACCCTTTTCTGGGGCCAGGAGGCCGGCCGTAGACACCCCGCGCTTTTCAGACCTTACTTGAAATGGCGTTAGGCTAAGCTAGTACGCTGGGGTCTTTCAGTAGCAGTTGCACATCTTTATTTAATCAAAAGAACAATTTTATTGTATAAGATTTATTCAAACCTTAGATTTCTAGAAGCAAGCAAATCAAGATAGAGCTTATGTAGCTGGTAAATAATAAAGGCCCAAATCTATTTTGTTTTGCAGTGCTAGGTATCAAAGCAGGGCCTTGTTCATGCCAGCCAGGGGTTCTTCCGTTGAGATACACATTTGGCATTTAAATCCAAGTATTTACATTTATTGTAACAAGTAGTGGTAGCTCCATGAAACACTACTATTTCCCAGAAAGGACTAGAAGTGTCAGCTAGAAACCCTGAGCAACATCTTAGCAGGGTGAGTATAAGCAGAGTGGGAAGTTCTGCTACAGAGAATTGGGAGGATATAGGTTCTGACTTCCTGGAGCTTCAAAATCTTCTCTGAATGCTACGTGCACAGAGGCTTTCCTTTAGGTGAGACTGAGTGTGAGGCCTGAAGTGTGTCTACTATCCACAACTTCCATCACCAAAGAAGTGCAGGAGCAACTGTACATGCATGCCAGGTTGTAGAGTAAGCCAGGTAGTTGGGAACCTAAAGACACAGCTCCCTATGCCTCCTGTCTCTCTGGGATGATGTCCCTGTGAGCTGTCAGTGATGAGAAAACAAGACATTCTCCACCCTTTCTGCAGGTTTCCAGTGGAATCTTGAGTGTAGCTCAAGATTTACAGAGAGACCCCCCCCCAAGCCAGGGCCCTATTCTCTAAGAGAAAGTTATTTACATGTGTACATGTTCTTCTAACTGGAAACAATGACATTTGAAAAACTATACAAAACATGAAAAATCGTATTGTAAGAGACCTGCTTCAAGGGGGCCCTCTTCCTACCTATGCATCATCTATTTATAGATGGCAGAAATCTTTGGGGGAGAAATGTAAATGATAGCAAGTCTGTTGGAATCAGACACAAAGACAGCCAACCCCATCTGTAGCTTCTGTTTCCCTTTTCTTCTTCCTAAATTAGTTTGCTGAATGCTGGTCTGCATGTTAAAGTGACACGCAGTAGAAGCTCTCACTTGTTTTAAAATGATTTCTCCATATTTGGCTATGTTAATACAATTGTAGTTCCAAAATACATTTACGTTTGTTTATACTTTATCTGACATTCTTGATTTCCTCAGTTAATCTGTACAATCTAGCAAATAATAGGTACAGAAGAAGTGAACACTGAGTAAATCGTTCTGACCACAAATAATGTAGATTTACAGGCCAGGTGGCTCATTCAACAGATTATTATATCATGCCATATCATTAGGAAAATGCCCGTGAATCTTTTATTGTTGTTGTTTTTCTCCTATATAAGATAGCAAGATTGGGAAGAGACATGTGCAGAGGAGCAAGCTAAGTCTTGAATGACAAGAAGGCGTTTTATTAGAGAAGCAATCCCAGAAAACAGCTGAGTTTGGGTTCTGAGAGGGGAAAGGAGCCAATAAAATCCTGTCCTGGTTACTGTGTGGTTACTGCTGTGACTCAGTGCCCCAAGGACTTTCCGAAAAAGAATGAGATGGAGAGGCTGAGAATCTTTTTATATGTTCTTTGTTGATTGAAGGTTGTGCCAAGAGACTGATGTACTTGTGCTTCTAGGTTAGGCACGGCTTGTGTGTACCCTGCCTCCAAGGATCCAGAAAAAGCCTCCAGGCAGGGTTTGGAAGAGCCCAGATGAAAAAGGTGGCCACTTACTGTGACTTTTCCTGTAGCTTTATATGAAAGGAAAAGCCAAGGGGATTTGCACCAGGGTATCCACAGCTTCTGCTGTGGAGGAGTTTGTACTGAGTTTGAAGTGTTCAGCATCAGCACCGTTCTGTAGAGTCTATGCACATGTGTGACTGATTGGCAGTTTTCTTGTTTACTTTCTATTGCTATGATAAAACGATCTCAAAAAGTGACTTAGAAGGGGACAATATTCATTTGGCTTATACTCTTAGGTTACATTATTGAGAGAAATCAGGGCAGGAACTCAAACAGGGATTTAAAACAATACTGTGAAGAAAAGCATCTTGCTGGTTCATACAGGGTCACTCAAAGTTTTCTCAAATAGCCCAAGACCAACTGCCCAGGAAATAACATTGCTCACAGTGGACTGGATTCTTTCTACATCCATTAACAAGCAAGACAGTCCTTCACAGATATGCCCACGGGCCGAGCCTATCAGCGTAATCCCTCATTTGATACTCCCTTATCAGATGACTCTAGCCTGTGTCTAGCTGGCAGCTAAAGCTATCTAAACAAGCAATCTTTGGAGAGAAATGTGGATTGTACTGTAGGTATAAGCATGATTTCTGGAAGCACCATTGGGTTCAAATAGTCTTGATACTTTCTGGGGGAACTTGGTTAATTAGTTTCTTAGTGTTTATCTTTCATCTGGGTAAAAGGAGAGTAATATAATAAAGACTATGTCATTGAGTTTAAGCAGCCAGTGATGGCCGCAGCAGCAGTGGAGTCTGCGGCGGGTCCGGGCCCATGAGGCGACGACGGAGGCGGGACGGCTTTTACCCAGCGCCTGACTTCCGAGACAGGGAAGCTGAGGACATGGCAGGAGTGTTTGACATAGACCTGGACCAGCCAGAGGACGCAGGCTCTGAGGATGAGCTGGA